GGGCGACAGAGCAAGACTTTGTCTCAAAAAAAAAAAAAAAAAAAAGATAAAAGAACAAAAGAAGAACAAAGGAAAGAAAGAAACCTCAGTTCTCTCCTCTGTGAAATGTCTTGCCTACTTCAAAGGCTATTAAAAGAAACAAGTGCAATCATACATGTGAAAGTGAAAAGTGAACAGTAGCTGTAAATACATCACCCTAACTTCATTTTAGAACTTTATTATTAGATGTGTTAGAATGTAAGTGCCATGAGGGCAGGGCCTTTGTCTGTTTGGTTCACTGTTAAGTTCACTATTAAGTGCCTAAGACAAGGAACTGAGTTGCATAAATACTCTGTATAAATACTAGTTGAGTGGATGAATGACGTTCCCCTCTAATTTGAAAGATTGGAGCCACTAGAAGAGATGGTTGGGGCAGTGAAGGCAAGGGGTGGTGGGTGAGTGGGCAGAGGTGACAAAGATAAAGCAATTCCTTAACTGATGTTCCTGCAAGCCCTGGCCTGGGAGGTGCTGAAGTCTGCTGATGCTCTCGGAAATCAGTGGGCTTGGAAGAGCCAGGACACAGGGTATGCCAGTGCTCACGGAGCCTGGGAAGGGAGTCAGGAAAGACCCAGCAGTTGCACACGGCACCCGGAGAAGTGGCACCAAGTCCCGATGGATTCACCCGATCCATTTCCGTGGAGTGGTGCAGTCGCTGCCAAGAAAAACTTTAGGACTTGACAAGATTTGGCAAGTCCCTGAAACATGAATTTGTGCAGTGTAAAGTTACGTGAGCCTTTTGGGAGATGGGGCATATCCAAGAGACAGTGGAAAAGTGTGCTTGGGATGTCAAAACCCACTCTTCCTACAGGAAAGTGCCAAGGAAAGGGAAGGCTAAAAGAGGGCAGAGAATGAAGACACACCATCCCCATCCTCCTAAACTGGCCACACATTTTTCTGAGTCAGACACATCATAAAATGCTATAGGACTGAATGAATGCTATGAATGTGTATATGTTATTAAAAATAACCAGGGTTCCTCACTGCAACCACAGTGAAAAATACCAACCAGGATGCTTACTGAATGGAAAAGTTCTTGCAGATAAACTGTCCCAGTAAAGGACTCCAGCCTTGATTTCTCACCCTGAGTTTTCCTTACGTCCTTATGCAGAAAAGAATCACAACCAGCCATCCCCCTGGCTGCCCACAAATCTGATCCTCATCTCTTGTATATGGACTTTATTTATTTATTTATTTATTTATTTATTTATTTATGAGATAGAGTCTTGCCCAGGCTAGGGTACAGTGGCATGATATCAGCTTACTGCAACCTCCACCTCCTGGACTCAAGCGATCCTCCCGCCTCGGCCTCCCAATGTGTTGGGATTATAGGCGTGAGCTACCACACCTGGCCGCTTATTGATGTTGAAATCTGACTTGGTGATTTCCCAAACTTATACAAGGATAGACCAGATCAGCCACTCTTTTTCTGGTAGATAAGTCAACTGGGGGCTGAGCAAGACCTTCCAGATGTTGCTGGGGGGTGAGGTTTCCACACACCTGGTCCAGGATCCCCTGCATGGGGAGGAACCGCTAGGGCAAACCGAGCTCTCCATATGACCTAGAGTCTGGACGTGCAACAGAAGAGGTCAACATTTGGGGCCAACATAAAAATCACGAAACTCTAGGGAATGCCTGTGATGCATTGTGGAGACATAAGCTTCAGGTTTCTTCCTTGATATACCCACAGCAGCATGGCAGAGAAGCTAAGAGTCCATTAGACTCAGGATCATATCCTGGACCTTGATCTTACTAGCTATTTGACTTGGGACATTACATTGCCTCGCCGTGGCTTGATTTCATCAGCTGTAGAGTGGGGAGTGATATTTACCTCATTGACTTATGAGCATTGATTGAAATGAAAAGTCTAATGCAACTAGTACAGTACCTGGCATATAGGAGGTATGTGATAAATAGTATTTGCTGTTATTTTTAACTGCAATTTAATAAAACAATTTCCTTTTGCTCTCAATTAGCAAGGCTTCAACTTCCTGTTGCCCAACCTCCAGGAAGAGGAGGCCCTCCTATGCCTCCTGACATCACATTGCCTACTCCTCAAACTCATCTGCTAAAGTTCTCTCATGGAGACGACAGCAAGCAGGTGCCCAGTTGAGTATGGCTCAAAGTGGCCCTCCAGTCTCATGAAATTGTTTTGAAGTCTCAGCTTTAATTTAAATATGCTTGTTAACTTTGCATTTCACTCCATAAAATCTTTTGATATATTAAATCTTATTGGTTTGTTCTCCCAGAATTTTTGAGTAACTTCAAGGTTCTGTGAAGACAAATGTTCCCCTTAAACACATATCCCTGTTGGAGAATCTCACACTAACATCACCTCTGCCCGCGGCAGGTCAGTAGGTTTGAGGAGAGAGGCTTCAAGTTAGACCATCAAGGATGACTTCATGGAAATGGTGAGGCCTGGGCTAGCCTAGTAGGATATGGACTCAGGGGAAGAAGGAATAAATGTCTTGAGCAGAGGTCTAGAGGTGGAGAACACAAATGAAACTCCCAAAGAACCATGAAGAAACTCAGTTCTGGAAACCAAGAACTAAGATTCCTTCTCAGCTGAAAGTCACTAATCTTTGTGTCTCATTCCAGTAAAACCCAATCCCACAGGAGTCAGAGTTGCATTCCAAGGCCATCAGTCACCTTCAGCAGCCACACAGTCCCGTCTGTCTTCTCACTCACTCTGTACATGTTTTTCACCTGGGCAGGAGCCCCTGTACAAGCGTGGCTGGCGCCAGGCATTGCTCTCCAGCCTCCCTCAGGACTCACGGTCATTAAGACATTTCTCATAATGAGCACATAAGCCCCAACTCACCCAGCCCTCCCTGCCCATTTCAGCAGCCAGCCTTCAAGTTTCACCCTCCACCATCCCAGGCCAGGCACCCACTCACTGTGGGAATTGTCCTTGCTTTCCTCCCTCTCCCCTTCCTTCCTCTGTGAAGCTTCCTTCCTGGAAGTTTTAAGGAGAGTTCAGAGCCACAGGGAGGCTGAATTCTGATACTCCATAAATTGAGACTGAGTTCTCCTACATAAGACTGCCTCAGCACGCTCAGCTAACTTGCTTCTCTTTACCAGACCACTTCCAGTTTGCTCTTCTCATTTTAGCTGTCTTCCTCCAGGATCCTGTGGAGTCATCCAGGAAGCACAGCGAGGGGCAGTCGGTTGGAGGACCTAACAGTGCCTTCTGCCCCTGGCACATTCGCCACAGAAGAAGACTACTCTGGGACTCAGCAGTATGGGATGGTGCTGTGGCAGCAGTCTCCTTGGAGCTCACTGGATCCTTAGAATTATTTTGTGATGCTTGTTCTGCATCTTGAAATGACGACCTGTGCCTCTGGGACTCAGCTGCAAGGAAGACAAGTGGAAGGCAAGTGGACATGTTTTTCTGTGTATCCCAAAACAGGTAGCAGTGTCTTTGCAGGTGAGAGCCCTCTTTCCAGTTGTTCCCTACAGTGCTGAGCATATTATAGGTCTTAATAATACTTGATGAAAGATGTAGTGGTTTCCAGCCAATATGTTTAGATATCTATCCCTCTTCCCCACATACACCGACATGGAGAATCGATTCTTTAATTTGGAAAGACAGAAGTTACAATAGGGCAACATTAATGGTATTATAGGCTAGGCAATCAGATGAAACGTGGAGAACAAACTTAGGTGGTGCAAATATTACAGCCTAACTCTCCATCTGTAAAATGGAGATAAAACTCCCTAAATAATAGGCATGCAGTGAAACAATTTAGCAAAGGTGAACATTTAGCAAAGGGTGCATCAAAGATTCCTCATAGTAGTCATTTGCTTCTTTCTCACTTTGGTTGGTCATCAAATTAGAGTTGGTAAAAGTAAAATGGCTCCGTTGGAAGCTAGGAGAGAAAGATATATCCACTTAAGACAGTAGGAAGTCAATTCATGAAATTAACTCTTCCTCGGTGTGGCCCTGAGGGAAAAATATGAAGAGCTCACAGGAGTATTTGGCTACACCATGATAGCTGTTTCTCTGAATGTTCAGTCCATGCTCTGCCTTCTGGGGTTGTGGAGATGGCTCCTCATAGTCCCATCCCCAAGCCACACCTGAGTGTCTCAGTAGTCATGAATTCTAGGCTGGACAGACCCCGGGGCTGCTGATGCCAGGGAGGACTTTCTTGGGCTCTGGCCTTCTTTGCCCCACCCTGGCTTGCTAACAGCCAGCACCCAAGCCTTAAGTTAATAGGAGACCAAGAGTGGCTTCAAAAGTCTCCTTAGGGCTTTGGGGAGGAATGTGGAGATGCCCGAAGAGGGTACAGGAAGAACAGATCCCATGCATCACTGCCTCTTGTCAGTAAGGTGGGTCATGGTGGATGGTACCCATGGTACAGTCCTTTCTCCACTCTGGCAGAGGCTAAGATGCTGCCTCTTGATCAGAGAATAAGCACTTAAGGCAATCGTAACCAATGCTAGCATTCTCTATCCGCATGGAGTGTGCAGACCTGACCATGGCTGACAGCGTTTAATTTCCCTAACTAAACTGGGTAGAATTTGTTTAATATCTGTTTAGCTTCAACAACCCCATTGAACATCAAGAACAAGTCAAAAGACCAGTGAGGTTTTGACTAAACTGGATTTGTTTGTTTTTGTTTTGTTTTACTGCTGTAAAGAGAGGGCAAACACTACAGAATTCTATAGAATGAAACCACTTTCTTAGTGAAATTGCCTTAGTTTAGGCAGCAATTTCTTTCAGAAAGTTATTAAGTCAGCAGAATGTGTCCCAGAGGCAGGCAGATAGGAGGAATAGGTAAAAAGTTTAAGTCATCTGCTTGGATCACACAGCACAGGAAAGCCAAAGGAAAGAAGAAAAACAACTTCTTCTACAACAGGAATTTATTCTCATTCCTGGTTCACAATTCTTTCTGGGAAAGATTGTGTGTGTGTGTGTATATATGTGTGTATGTGTGTGTGTATATATATATATTTTTGAGACAGAGTCTTGCTCTGTTGCCCAGGCTGGAGTGCAGTGGCACAATCTTGGTTCACTGCAAGCTCCGCCTCCTGGGTTCACGCCATTCTTCTGCCTCAGCCTCCTGAGTAGCTGGGACTACAGGCGCCCGCCACCATGCCTAGTTAATTTTTTGTATTTTTAGTAGAGACGGGGTTTCACCGTGTTAGCCAGGATGGTCTCGATCTCCTGACCTCGTGATCCACCCGCCTTGGCCTCCCAAAGTGCTGGGATTACAGGTGTGAGCCACCGCTCCTGGCCGGTATACATTTTTTATGTAAAACTTTTTCAAATTTGGTTTCCACATTTAACCCAAGACAAGGCTGTACCGGTCTTGGAGGTGAAGGTCACCCATATCAACAAAAAGGCTTCCTGCTGTAAAATTCTCTCTGATCATCCTCTAAGGTCCTGTGTCTCTGGCTGTCCACTGCGGCTGCAGTGCTGTCCATACCTGGAGCATTCCCACCACTAGCTTCTTTGCTTCTGTTTCTGCTTCCAGACTGCCCAGAAAGGCTGGAGCAAATGTCATGACTGTGCAGACCAGGCTGTTGCAGAGCCGGGCTTCCATCTTCAGCTTCTCAATGCCCTATTATTCATTCCCGCCTGACTTTCTATTCCGTGTCCTCCCTGCCTCAAATTTCCAAGCCACTTCTCTCTTCCCATCACCTTTGTCCCCACCCCTCACTCAGCACAGGATCTCATTGTTTCCTTCCCCAGGAGGCTGCCTGCCCCCTCGCTCCCCTTGTGTTTACCTTAACTGTTCTCTGGTCTATCGTACCTTCTTCCTGCTGCTTTGCAAGCCCACCTGCTCCACCCCTTCCTGCCCCTCCCGTGATCCTGCTCCATCAGAGTCCCCTCTTGGGTGCCTTTCAATCTCTCCTTCCTTATGATTCCTTTTTAAATATTGATCAAGGGCCCATCACCCAAAGAAAATTTTCCATGCAGTCATCATGGTGAAAATTCTTTAAAGCCAGGTGCGAAATCTTTCTGCCTCTACTTCCCACACCCTGCTCAGCTTCTCCTTTATTGCCCAACCCAACTGCCTCACGATCTCCCCTTCTTGGGTCTCCTTGAAGCATCAGAAATACCTTCCAGCCTTTCTTCTTGGAACTTTCCTCCCTTTTCCTCATGGCCCGTCTCCTACTAACCCTGCCATTCTGTGTTGTCTGTTGCACTGGCTCCCCTAGATGTGGGCATTCCTCAGAGTTCTGCCTTCCTTCTGTTTTGTTCCATTTATCTGTTTACTATTCCCTGGATAGTCCTTCATGACAGTCACCACCACCAACTCCAACTCCATGTGTCCAGTTGGAACTAGTGTTTTCTTTTCCCTTTCCCCAAATCCACTTCTCTCTCAGAGTTCCCAGTCTCTGTCCTGCCCATGGTCACCTTCTCAGGCACCCTGAAGAGAGCAGACTACTTGATGGCACTTCCCTTCCTCCCACCACACCTGATTGGCTGCCCCTGACCTCTGCAGTTTCCCCAGCACCCATCCCCTCCCTCCAGGAACACTGCCTTTGCCTTGCCTGTCCTCCTCTCTGACCTGGGTTACTGAAATAGCCTCTGGTCCACCTGCCTCTAATATCATCCCTTCTCAGCTTGTCCTTTTTATGGCTTACAGGTTCAATTACGAATATATAGGTTGGGTTGTATCACCACTCACTCCATCCGCAAGTCTCCAAAACCTTTAAGGGTTATCTCCAGTTTGCAAAACAAACCATCTAAAAACTCCTAATTCCACTTTCCACCCCCACCAACACACTCACACACACACACACCCCCCACACACACCCCGCAGGTGCTTAACTTTCTCCTCCATTAATTTGGGACCACTCATCATTCCCCAGATACAATTTTTACTTTTATTCCTTTGTGTTTTGCTGGTTGCTTGCCTTGGAACATTATCCTCCCCTTTTGAAATCCTATTTGGCTTGTAAGGCTCACCTCTTTCATGAAGCTTTCTCCTGTTCCTCCTGGCACAGCACACTTCTTCCTCCTCTGAAGTCAGGTGGCATTTTGCCTGTCTCTCCATCACAGGACTTATTTCATCCTTGTCTTTTTTATGCCTGTATCCTGAAAGAGCCTAGCAATATGGCTCTTATTATTATTTGATAGTGGCAACTTATTATTTGCTGAATGAATGAATGAATGTGAGAAGTGAAATTATTATTTGCTGAAGGAATGAATGAAGTACTCCACTGTTTTATGGGTATAGTAACTATGATAACTTTCATGGTATGCTGAGTGGCAGATCACAGCACTTTCACATATTAATAGCTCAGTTTTATCAGGAGCATAGCCAAGACCCTGCCAAGGCCCACAGAGCAGCCCTCCCAGCTTCCCTTCCCCACTGCTGTCCATTCTTCCTCCTGGGGCTGGACCTCTCTGCCCCTTTACTCTGGATAAGATTAAGTCTTGACTTTCATTAATCTTCAGCCGTTTAAAAGAGGAACTTTGCCCCCTTCACAGGGCTGCTGTGAAGTTGTCTGTTAGCCCTAACACTTGTTCCCCCACTTCTTTGCCCTCTGCCCTGGCCAAGATTTCCCCTCCTACCGTTCAGATACTAGCTGAAATGGTTTGGATCTGTGTCCCCACCAAATCTCATGTCAAATTGTAATCCCCAGTGTTGGAGCTGGGGCCTGGCGGGAGGTGATTGGATCATGGGGGCGGCTTCCTCACGAGGGTTTAGCACCATCCTCTTGGTGCTGTTCTCATGATAGTGAGTGAGTTCTCACAAGATTTGGCTGTTTAAAAGCGTGCAGCACCTCCCCGCTCACTCTGTCTTGCTCCTGCTCCCACCATGTAGAAGCCTCACTCCCCCTTCACCTTTTGACATGATTGGAAACTTCCTGAGGTCTCCCCAGAGGCAGAAGCTGCTGCTTTCCGTTCAGCCTGCAGAACTATGAGTCAATTAAACCTCTTTTCTTTATAAATTACCCAGTCTCAGGTATTTCTTTATAGCAGTGCAAGAACAGACTAACACACCAGCTAATCCAAGTTCTTTTTCTTTCTCCCTCTCATGATGGGCTTTGCCTTGCCCGTCATGTACACCTAAGTGGAGATCTCAGTCCCTATGTCTGCTTCCCAAGGACTTCTGCATCCAAGCTTCTTTTTGAATGATAAAATGAAAGGCATCCTCTCCTAGGAAAGGCAATTCAGGACTTCGGAAATGGGCAGGGGAATTCTGAGGGACTGAGATCCTTCCTCCTGCTCCTTGAATGCCATAAGCAACTGTCTCTCTCCTTTATCTTGCCCTGCAATAAATTCAGGGAGGCGGGGACCACACAGAAGCCCTTCCCCTAAATACCATCCTAAAAGCAGCAAGAGGGAGCCATGCGGAGGGGAGGACAGCCTGTGATTCTGGCCCGTCCCACGGATGAGTCAGCACTCATGTGGTCAGCCCTCTGGCTCTCCTCCCCCAGCCTAGGGAGAAAATGCTGAGTCGCACACCTTGTGGGCAGCCATGGAACCAGAGGCTCCCCTGCTGCTCTCCATCTCCCCATGCCCCAGTCAGCTCCGGGCCTCGTACCCACTTCTTGGCCTTTGATGAGGGGGCCTCGCAGGCTCCAGCCAGCCGCCACCCTGGGAAGCCATCCTTCTAGCGGTCAGATGAAACGCAGGCTTCCAGGGAAGGGGCAGAGAAAGAGCCAAGAGTCTTGTGTCCCCCGTCTGTACCTGTGCAAGCCTGAGCAGGAGACACAGGGCCCCCTTCCTGGGCTGTGGGCAGAAGTGGAGCCAGCCAAGACCACAACCCACCCATCCAGGTTTCCATTCATGAACCTTCTACAGGCTCAAGGCTGGAAGTTCGCCTCCTTTGCTGTGGCTTGAAGTGGTTTACGCAGACCGAGTCCAGATATGTAATAGCTGTTCGCTATTTTCTATGAGAAGATTTATTCAAAAATAAATTTAGCTAAGGGGGGAGGAAAGTTAAAAAAAAAAAAAAAAGAAAAGGAAAACAGAAGGACAGATTTTCTTATTGACTCGCTGCCAGGGATTGAAACATGGAGGCCGGCCTTCCTTTTGGAGAAGAGAGACAGCTGCAACATTTCACGGTGTAAAGTCAGCGAATTTCCACAGGCCCGCCAGCCAGGGACCACAAAATGGTTTCAAACAACGGCTCGCTTCATGCTATTTGTGTGTGCGCGCGCGCGTGTGTGCGTGAGTGTGTGTGTTTAGAAAAAGGCAAGGGTGGGGGTTGGGCAAAGGGGAAGCTAAAAAGTGTCCTCGCCCGGCCGGAGTGGGCAGGGGCGGAGTGAGCAGATTAATGAAAATGTTTCGCTGGCATGAGGGGTTTGATTGCCCCACTGCAAAATTGCTTGCAGATTCGAAAACAGCATGTTTCATTTCAAACTCATTCTCTTGCCATACATTAGCACTTGTCAATGTAACCATTAAGCACAGGCAGTGCAGAAATTTAATTACAAAACCATTTATTTTATTGAAAGAAAAATAAACCCAAGCTACCTCAAATGCATTAGGTAGGTTCAGAACATGTTCAGCTGATAACACCCAAGGGTAGGGAGGCTGCTGCAGGAATAAATGCGTCTTTCATGTGCGGTGGGGACTCGATATTAGAAACAGCTGCCTCTAGGTCCTCTTTATTTAAGTTCAATTAGGAATTAAAAAACAACCGAATTAATGAAGGGACTTTTTATATCTGCAGTCACTCGGCTGTGGCATTCATTCTTCTCTTCCCAATTCACCTCCCCTTTTAAGTATTTGGATTAAAAATGCTAATTAGTCAAAGTGAACTTTTTATGGCATGGATCCCCCTCTCCACCCACTCTCCATCCCATCTCAGGCTTGTCTTTTGTTCTCCTAATGGGAGATTATGCAAGGCCTATCGTATTAAAGGAAATCACAAAAATGTGCTAAACACATCAAAAAGTCTCCAGTCTGTATCTTATTTATGCCTTCTTCCCTCTCCCCCATGTACGTCTTCCACACAGTTGGAAAGCCGGCAGCGCAAGGCTCTCTGGTGAAATACTAGATTTGGGTCGAGCGGCCGGCTGATGTCATGCTGGAGACCGCCTCTCCTGAGCACTAATGGGCTGCCAGTAACAAGTCTGTTTTACTGTTCTTCTGGAAAGGAAAAAAAAAAAGAGTTATAACCTTCGTGGTTTGGACTGATTTGTCAATTTAAAGTGCATTTTTTTTTTTTTCTGTCTGAGCTATCTACCCACAATTTCTTACAGACATCGCCTCATGCGGTCCACTCAGAGGAAGAATCTGGAAAGGGAAGATTGGTTGTTTTTTCTAACTTTCCTAGCAAGTATACAAACCTCTAAAATTTCAGAGAGGCATCTGTATTAGTTCATTCTCATGCTGCTGATAAAGTCTACCCGAGACTGGGCAATTTAAGAGGTTTAATAAACTTACAGTTCCATGTGGCTGGGGCAGGTCTCACAATCATGGTGGAAGATGAAAGTCATGCCTCACATGGTGGCAGACAAGAGAAGAGAGCTCGTGTAGGGAAACTTCCTTTTTAAAACCATCAGATCTTGTGAGACTTACTCACTATCACGAGAACAGCACAGGAAAGACCCGCCCCCGTGATTCATTTATCTCCCATCGGGTCCCTCCCACAACACATGGGAATTATGGGAGCGACAAGATGGGATTTGGGAGGGGACACAGAGCCAAACCATATCAGCATCATCGGATCATTTGCACAGTGGGAGGTGGGGAGTGGGAGGCAGATAGGCACAGAGGGGGCTTTTTCCCTGCACGTTCATTTTTAGGTCTTGTAACTACACTGATGTGCAGTAGCAGACCTTTGTGACATTGACTCAGTGATGGTTCTGCCTCTGTCACTACTGTCCAGTGTGAGACCTAAGGAGGGCTTCCTGGCCTGCTTCAGAAGGGCCTCCAGAGCTCTGTTGCCCCTTGCAAGACCACTGCCAATGCTTTCTGGGGCTACCCATATTGTCATCTAAACTGCTCGGAGACCCACCAGGCACAAAGCCAGGCAGCTTGAAAATTCGCTGGACGGGCACGGCTGCCTCTGACCCCAGCTGCCTTGATCTGCCCTTGACACGTACTCTTCATGCCAAAGACCCAGGGAACCCGAGGCAGGGAGAACACATTCAGAAAGAGAAATTCACCATTCCAGGGAGTAACCCTTTACCAATAGATTGTAGATAAGCACTTGCTTGGAGAAGAGAAAGGAGGGCAGAAGGAAAGAGGAAGGAGTTGGTCATATTTTAATATTCTAAGACTTGGCATCTAACATGAGCCCTGCAAACCAAGGAGGCAGCAGGGTGGAGTGGGCCTCTGTGGTGTTACCACAAGTGCACCCAGCAGAGAAAATAGCAATATACTGCAAACATTCCCTGAGGGGTTCAAGAAGGTGACACCCTACTCTGACCCAGCCATGGAGAGATGCTCTTCTAAAACCATGTGTAAGAAAGAGCAAAGGCTCGGGCGGGGGTGGGGGGCGGTAGGGTGGGGGTATGTGGGAAGAGAGGGCTGGATTGTTTAATGCACCGTTACTGAAGGAATTTCCACTCGGGTACGTATGTGCTGTAGACTTTCTGAACATCACATCTCACTCAATAAAAGTGCACGCCAATACCACGTGCTCTGTTTATGTCTCTCCCTATCCAGTGCACTGGATGGATGGATGAAGGCACTCTCCCAGGCTTCCAACTCTTGGTAAGTGTGCATTTTCTAATTACATTTCTCAGCCTGGGTTTCAGACAGGAGAGCTCAAAAAATGTATTCCAGTTTTACAAATAGCAACGGTTTTTTAAAGACAGCAACTCAATGATTCAAGAATGACATCTTTTCTCTTATTCTTGTCTTCAAGAGTAAGAAGTAAACTCCCAGGAAACAGAATTGGTTTCCTCTCCCAGGAGTTGGGTTGTAGATGGAGCATGCAAGTTCTTCAAAATGATCCCGTGGCTTAGAAGCAAGAAGAGGGGAAGGTAGAATGAACTTGCATCCAAGGGGCCTTCTAGAGAGTGTGGAATCCTGAATTGTGCATAACAGAGTGTGCCTGGGAAACAGGAGAGGTGGATGTCTACCCAAAGCATCATTTTAACAGGCAAAGCTACTCCCTCTCCCTAAGGAGCTACAAAACCCATAGCAAGATCATGTGGCAACTAGGGCCACCTGCTTCAAATAGGGTTTTCTCTCCCGGCTTTGATCCTTTACCCCCAGTCATTTCCCTTCTCTGTGACATACAGAGTAGATAACACCACCTTAGCATTGAGTTTTAACCATTTATTCACATATATTTGTTGAGTACTATATTCTGGGCATTATACTAGGCATTGGGGATTTAATGAAGAACGAGACAGACAAAGTTCTTGCCATTGTCATTTAAATCCCAGTAAGGGAGGTAGACATGAATCAGGTAAACAAATAAATGAAAGGGCCACAAATTGTTAATGCTTTGAATGGAATACATTGAGCATTAGAATGGGCTTTAATGGGAAGGTTTTTCTGAGGAGAAGAGTTATGCTAGATCTAAAGGCAGAGAAGGAGCCAGCCCCATGCAGAGCTGGGAGGAAAGTGGCAACAGTGACAGATGCCACAGGCAACATGAAGCTCTAATGCCCATGAGAGTGTGGCCTGACTGGGATCAGCCAGAAGGCTGTTGTGACTAAGTGTGACGAGTGAGGTTGGGCAGTGGCACGGACACAGAACATCCTACATGTAGTGGGAAGCCACTGAATGGATTTTAACCATGGATGGGCATATTCTGATTTATGTCTTAAGAAGGTGATTTTCTGCAAATATGGAAATGAACTGGAGGCGGGCAAAGGTAATAACAGGGAGGCCCTTCAGCGGGTATTGCAGCCGAAGTGAGAGATGGTGGCCAGAAGTGGAATGATGGTGAGTGTTCTGCTTCTTTTTGTTTCACGTAGATTGATTTGGTTTTTTTTAGGCAGTTTGAGAGTTCTCTGAGAACAAAGAGCTTATTTTATTCTTCATAGGATAAAGGAGGAGCACCACTCCTCACCATCAGAACCTTCATATGATGCAACAAGAACATACTTCTTCTCTGCTTAGTCTTCAGTGCAGGGCAGCCTGACACAGGCTATTCTTCTGGCCTCCTACACCATCACTGCCCTTTTGGGGGACATGAGCATCATGTCCTTCCCTTTTCTCCCTCTTCCCAAACCATGACAGGCCTTTCCCAGAGCCCTTCTACCTAGAGTGTCCTTCTTTCTTTTTGGCAAAGCCTGGCTTTTCTTGCTATCTAAATTGTCTAATAAAATACCGACTCTCTGAAGGCTTTCCCTGACTCCCTGGGGTAGTGGCAACAAAGTGCACCTCTGTGCTCCCATGGTGCTTTGTTCATGTCTAGAGTTTTGCACCTGCTCACACCATGTTGTATACTCTGCTTGAGTGTCTATCTCCTAACCAGATCCCTAGCTCCTAGTTACAAACTCATTGCCAAATCTCAGCCTTTTCTTTAAAGAGGAGTCAAGGTGAGGATAGATTTTGAATCATGTTATTTGAAATCATGTTATTACATGGTTAATATTAATAAATCTTATCATTATAAACTTCTATTGTACTTTATATTTCCATTAAACTTTTAAATAGTTTTAAAAGTTTAACTTCTATTAAACTCTTAACTTAAAACTTTTAACTTCTATTAAGCTCTTAAATCTTAGCATAATAAACTTCTATTGTACTTTAACATCTAAGCTGTGGCCTCAAATTTAAACAGAAAACAGGCCTGGTAGAATGTAAGTCCACTCTCCTAATGAATGGCTGAGTGTGTGAGCTGGAAGATTGATCAATAGAAATTATCTAAAGACAAGAGGAAAAAAAAGTTGAAAAAATGAACAAGCTTCAGGGACATGTGGGACAATATCCAAATGTTCCATATGCAG